AATAACAGGTCATATTTAAGTAAATTAAGATGTCTACTTTGGCATATCAACATATAGCACATATAGGAAAAGCAGGACCTCTCAGAGTGGAAAGACAGTGTGGGCTAAAATTGTGAAGGGCCTGAATATACTCCAAACTGAGGGAACTCTGAGGGCGATTAAACAGAGTAATGATCATCTAAGCATTGCTTTAAGGAGATGTGCCTAATGTGAATGTTGAAAATCAACTGGAATGAAGGAAAAGAATGTGATGGTGCAAAACCTAGTTTTTCTATTTGCATTTTTTAACTTGTGGTTTCCATGGCTTACAGTAAAACAAAACATGAAAAAATCATATGAGAGGGCCGGCCGAGTGGCGCGATGGTTAAGAACTCGCTTGGGATGCCAGAGGGCCCCGGTTCGGATCCCACATATGAGGGCCAGTGACACTGCCCTCCCACAGCTAAGATGCTGAACAACAGCTCAACCTGGAGCTGGGCTGCCATGAGTCGCCGGCGACGGCGTGGGCTGCAGTCCCTGTGGCAGTGGATTGCCATGGGCTACCATGTGTGGCCAGCAGCCAGCGTGAGCGGCCAGCAGCCGCAGTGAGCGGCCGTCCAGAAGCCGGCGACTGATCTGCCTCGCCTGGGAAGAGCGCAATGATGGTGCCAACTTGGGCCAGTGAAGCAACGTCCTCCACAACTAGACTGAAGAACAAAAGGACAGCAACTTGTCTGTTCCCCTTTCCCCAATTCCCCAGCACTGTTCCCATCCCCCCAATTCCCCAATAAAAATCTTAAAAAAAAATCATATGAGAAAATGAAATTAATAAAGCAAAATAAATTAAAATCAAGTAATATAATAGAATGGAAAGAGAAAATTTCACAAAGGAAAAAAATGCTCAAGAATTCTTTCTGTGTTTCCTAGCAGCCAAGGCAATGTGGGAAATTTTCAATGGATTATATACCTCACATTATCTAGTAGAAAATGGACATAAACGCTCGGTGAAAAACACATGTTTTCCTGGTCCTCAGTTTTGAAAGGAGTCTTCCCTGTTGGCCTTTTAAACAAATTTAGTGTCTTCCCAAAATTCAGAGATATTCCCTTACAAGAGTTTACATATCAGACCTTGATGAAAACTGAAGCTAAAATATCAAAGCACCCTTCTATAAAAGCAAATCTCTGAAGATGATGGCGAAGAGAGATATTTACAGACTGGTACTATCTAGTTGTTCAACTTTGTATTGATCTTTAGTAATATCAGAATGGAAATTAGACACTCCTTTTAATAGTCCTTGAGAAAATATACTAATGACAAGAAGTATCATCTGGTCACTCTATAGATTAATGACAAATAATCACTTGTTTTAAGTCACTAAGTTTTGAAGTGATTTCTTATCCAGCCATAGACATTAAAGCAATCTTATTTAATTTTTACAACAATCCTATGAAGATAAGTATTTACCTTTATTTTACAGATGAGCAAACTGGAGATCAGAGAGGTTAAGCAACTTGTCCAATGTCACACAACTCCTATGTAGAAGAGCTGGGACAAATGTGAGCTATATAACCTGAGTGACTGAGTGTTTTGTAAGGCCATTCGCAAAAATAGAGCCTTAATGAGGAGAAGTTAATTTAGAGAAAAATCAAACAATTTGCAGTTGCTATTCTTTATAACATTAGGGCTCTAAAAAAAGTAGAGTAAATTGATAAAGACTAAAGTAAAACTGTCCAATAAATATAGTGCAGAAATCTCAGGAAACAGAGGCAGCCTGCCAACTACCTGTTTTACTGCCTCGAGGGCTTTCATGTTCTTTAGAGAGGAGCAAGCTTGTAAAGAAAGGTTCATAGACTAAAGTCAGATGGGAGTATTTTGCAATAATTAGTTCTTCCAGTCCTCCACTTCTATCTGTAAATTCAGGCCATTCTTTCTTTTATTTTCACCTTCCTTCCTATCTTCCATAAATATTTAGAGTGAGCATAAACTAAGAACTTATCCCTGTCCTAGGTTCTGATGCTATAGTGATGATTCAGTCACCCCAAGGAATGCATTGTATGGTGAAGTTAATGGGAAGGAAAGCAAGTAATGACAACCAGAGAGATCAAACACTAGGAAAGACCTACAGGGAGCTCTGGGGGGAGCTGAGAGAGGTACTTCCCTCAATCTCAGCAGGAGATGGGAAGAGAGGATGTCAAGGAAGCCTTCCCAAAGGTAGGCATGATTAAGTTTAGTCCTCTATGAGGAGAAGGAGAGTGTCTCTTGAAGGGGAGAGGAGCCAAGGCCATGTAAAAGTCTTGAAATGGAAAGTTTATATAGCTCTTGAACAATGAACTCAGCACTCTAATTGGAGGACCACACTGTGTTGTTATTGGGGCGAGGAGAAGGGAAAATGGAGAATCTGGAGGAGGAAGCAGCAATCAGAACAGGTTTATGCTATTCTCAGCGGACTTTCTCTTAACGCCAAAGGAAAGCCATAGAGTAAGAAGTTTCAAGTAGGGAAGTGACATGGTCCTATTCTCCTTTCAGAAACATGATGCTGAGTGCACTGTAGAAAACAGACTTAAGAACTATAAGCAGAACTATAAGTTAGAAGGAACAGAAATTAGGAAGTTACCAAGGATGATAAATGCTAATGAGGAAGGAGGGGCCACTGAGAAACAAGGGAGGTAATGGGATTCGAGACATAAAAAGGAAATAGGAGATTTGAGGGATAAGCAGATATAATTTTCGCCCCTAGTTGAAAGTCAATTACAAATCCATATAATAATAAACGAAGCAACTTATCCAGTAAGCTCCAATGACAGCAGTTAATATAATTCACCCAGCTCTCAGAATTAGATTTCAGGATGGTATATAATGGATAATAATGAATATAATCATTCTAAAAATACAAGCACTTACCATGTGACAGGCACAGTGCTATCAGCTCTATGTGTATTTTCTCACTCAATTTTCCCAACAACCCAATGAGGTAGACAGTTATTATTTCACTTTACATATAAGAAATGTGAGGGAGCATCCCCCATATTATTAATTTTTGGTTGATTCAATTAACATATATTCTTTATTTATATGTATCAGTCATTATGTTAGGATCTATAGAGGAAAAGGGGAAAAAAATACATGATATTGGTCCCAGAGACGCTCATGGCTAAGTGGGAAAATCTAACACTGATAAGTAGAAAATTCCACTATGATGTACTAGGTGCCATGGCAGTCTGGTCCAAGAACTATAGAAATATTCTGGAAATGACCATCTTTAACAGAAAGGGAAGCTTCAGCTCAAGTGCACATAGCAGCACAAACTCCCACTGTCTCAAATAGAAGTCAATATCTGGCTACCGTCTGCAGTTGGGCTGGTTGTGCCATGAATGAAGTCCCCTAGCCATGAGAGAAAGGGTTACAGGATGGGTAGTATGGGTTAAGGTAGCATGGGTTCATGTGGTATTGGAGGTGGGGGAACTTCAAGCCAAATTCCACCCCTTGCTCCACTGATCAAACCAGAGTCTGGTTGCAGGTCTAGATCTTCCCAGAAGAAGGCACTACATAGGCCAAAGGTAGCCCTGGCCAATGAAATGTCTATCGTCCAATAAAGGGGATGCCATAATTATTTTACAATTGACTTATCCCTGCTTGCCTGTTCTTCAAGAAAGGCTAGGTAGTGTGAAAGACTCCAGAGAGTCACTTCCTCCTCAAACTAAATCCCTTCAAATTTGGAAAACCTTTTTGGTTTTCCAAACCTTGGCCCTGACTTTACACTTAAGATGATAGGTGAGATCAAGGTAATAGGAGAAGTCAGAGCCTTTCAGAAACTGTAAGGAACTCAGCTCTCAGTCCAATGTCTTTAAGTTGTGGTCCATGAGCCATGGCAGGGTCCAAAGGTTAGAGCTGCGACACAGAGATTTCCAAAGTATTATTAGGGATTCACTGTTTTTCTTAATCTCACTTCTATCTGCAGGGCATTCCTGCCAATAAAACTACTATAAATACTATAAAATTATTTATAATCATTGTTTTAATTTCCTACTTGAGTAATAACAATTTCTAAGCACTAATAAAATTATCATTTTTGTTTGTTTCTCATCTATGACCTTAAAATACTGTAAATAAAATATATTATAGTAAAATGACAGTAAAAATTTAAATTAGTTCAGTGCTTTTTGTTTTCTTATGTATACTCTTTCCTTGAAAAAGAGACTAAAAGAAAGTAAACCATAAAAAACTGAAATAGCGAGCATGAAATTTATAGTCCATGCTTCTATTTGTAGTGCACAGAATCATGGGCCCAAGACCTATTAACTAAAGATTTGACCTGTAGACTCTCAAACCCAACTGAAAGGAATTCAAGAATCCACTTTCCAGGAGAGCTACAGTGCCCAGGGATGCCCATGTATGAAAAATTACAACAGAGAAAACACCTTCCTAACATAAACAAGACCATGGGGGGGAAAAATGGGGCATCTAGGAAGGAGTGGATGCATTCTGTACTAGTTCAGTTTTATAGTACCTTATTTGTTACTGAGGTTACAATGTATATTTTGCAGGAAAATTTTATTGCACTAATTAACTCATTAACAACCTCTAGAGAGAAGCCAGACTTCTCTGTGGGCTGGCTTGCTGAATTTTAATGACACAGATAAAGAGAAAATCCATGTGCCAGGTTCTGGGAAAGCCCCAGTACTTTGCAAACAGCTCTGATTTATTTAGTGTATCACCTCATAGAGAAGTATGAATTGTGGATTAAAATAGAGAAGAACTTTTCAATACATATATGAGTACAATAGGTTTGGCTAATTTAACAAGCAATGTTCATGGCATTTAAAGCATTTTAATTCAATAGAAAAAAAAATGAAACTGGATTTACTCCCCCTCCCCACCTCTTCTGAGTTGGAACAGAAGCTGGTTAATTCTGGAGTCCACACTAGCCAGGCTGGCTGGGGTTTCTGAGTGGGTAGACTGAGGTAAAGAGTGGGTCAGAAAGGACTTTGGGGGATAGCTCAGCCTCCAAGGTACTGACCATTTAATCGATAGCACTGATGTGGTTTATGGCATTATTAATGACATCCATTGTGGTACCCTGGCCTCCAATGTCTGGAGTACGGACATTTTTGTCCTTCAAAGATGCCAAGACTGCAGTACGAATGGTGGTGGCATAGGAGGGGAGCTTAAGGTAATCCAGCAAAATACAACTTGCCAGCAGCATGGCGGTCGGGTTGGCCATATTCTTATTGACTATATCCCTGTCGTACTGCTTTGCAGCTGCTTCGAACACTGCGTATATGGGGCCATAGCTGGCCCCAGGCACAATGCCTGGTCCTCCGACCAATCCTGTGCAGATACTGTTGACAATGTTGCCATAAAGATTGGGCATCACCATGACATCAAATTGTTGGGGCTGGGATACCAGCTGCATGGTGGCGTTATCCACAACCATATCTTCAAAGGTGATCTGAGGATAACGGGATGCCACTTCCCTACAGCACTGGAGGAACAGACCATCTCCCATTTTCATGATGTTGGCCTTGTGCAAAGCTGTCACTTTCTTGCGCCCCATCTCCTGGGCCAGCTGGAAGGCATATTCAGCAATGCGCAAAGATTTGGCCTTAGTAATGATCTTCAAGCTCTCTATCACTCCTTTCACGCTCTCGTATTCCAGGTTGCTGTATTCACCCTCCGTGTTTTCCCGGATAACGATGATATCTATGTTACCGTGCCGGGTCCTCACACCTGGCAGACTCTGAAAGTGGATGACATGAGCGTAGAGATCCAGAATGGTGCGCAACATGCTGCTGCGGGATCTGTGACATGGTGGCAGGTTGTGATTAGTTTCAATGTTGCCCTTCAAGGCCACACGGTTCCGGCGAACTGACATGATGGCATATTGAAAGTCCTCTTCGCAAGAAGTGGAGTTAATCTGCACCACCTCAAAGTCCACAGGCACACAGGCATATCTGAACACAGTCTTGACTTGCAGCATGAGCTCAGGCCCGATGCCATCCCCAGGAATCATAGTCACAGTGTGCCGTCCACCATACTTGGCTGATGGAGGAACCTTGCACTTGAGTGAGAAGCTCTTCAGTGAGATCTCATGGCCAGGTAAAATCTCCCAAGAATGGCTGAAAATAGTAGGTCGGAACATAGCCTTCACAAAGCAACTGGCAGCTGGCAGCATCTTACGTGCCATGATCATTAAGTGGAGATTAATTTATGTAAAAACATGTGCTCTTCTTCTTGTTTTGAACTGGCTTCTTTGGTGGAACTCTAAATCCATAGTCCTTGCCTAGGTCACAATTGTCTCTCCTTCCTGGTGTTCTATTTTGGACATTCTATTGCAGTGTGAGAGAGGGAGAGAGCTAGTTAAGAGAATGACGTGATGTGTTATAGACTAGAAAAGACATTTTGGAATTGGGTAATAGTTCATTAGGCACATTCAATGTGCTACGCTTTGAATGGTATACTTTTTTAAAACAGCACTTGATATTTTAGAGCAGTTTTGGGTTCACAGCAAAAGTGATTGGCAGGTACAGAGATTTCCCACAGAGCCCCTGCCCTGACAAAGGCACAGCCTCCTCCAATTGTCAAAATCCTGCACCAAGAGCAGAACGTCTGCTACAATTAATGAACCTACATTTACACATCATTATCATTGAAAGTCCCTAGTTTAAAATGGGGTTTACTCTTGGTATAGGACATTCTGAGTTTGGACAAATTCTAATGATGTATCTATCATTATAGTATCACACAGGGTAGTTTCACAGCCCTGAAAATCCTCTTTGCTTTGCCTATTCATCCCTCATACTCCCCTAACCCCTGGTAACCACTGATCATTTTAGTGACTCCATAGTTTTGCATTTCCCAGAGTGTCATATAATTTCAATCACATACTACTGTAGCCTTTCCAGATTGGCTTCTTTCACTTGGTAATATGCAGTTTTCTCCATGTCTTTTCATGACTTGATAGCTCATTTCTTTTTATCATTGAGTAATATTCCATTGTCTGGATGTACCACAGTTTATCCATTCACTTACTGAAGGACATCTTGCTTGTTTTCAAGTTTGGGCTGCTATAAACATCCATGTGCAGGGTTTGTGTAGATATAAGTTTTCAGCTAATTTGGGTAAATAACAAGGAGTACAATTGCTGGATCCTATGGTGAAGTATATTTAGTCTTGATAGAAATTGCTAAACTGCCTGTATTATAAAAGTAGCTGTAAAAAGGAGCATTTTACATTCCCACCAGCAATCGATGAGAATTCCTGCTGTTCCATATCCTTGGCAGCATTTGGCATTGTTAGTGCTCTGGAAAGTGGCTATTCTAATTGGCAAGTTGTGGTATCTCACTGTTTTTTTAATTTGCATTTCCCTAATGACATATGATGTGGAGCATCTTTTCATATGCTTACCATCTGTATATGTTCTCTGATGAAGTGTCTGTTAAGGTTTTTGACCCGTTTTTTAATTGAGTTGTTTGTTTTCTTATTGTTGAGCTTTAAGAGTTCTCTGCATATTTTGGATAACTCCTTTATCAGATGTGCTTTTACAAATAATCTCTCTCAATCTGTGGTTTGCTTTCTCATTCTCTTGAAGAAGTGCAGATAAATCTAGCTTATTATTTCGTTCATGGATCCTACCTTTGGTGATGTATCTAAAAAGTCATCACTATAACCAAAGTCATCTAGATTTTCTTCTAGGAGTTTTATAATTTTGCATCTTCCATATAAAGTCTGGGATACATTTTGAGTTGATTTTTGTGAAAGGTTTAAGGTCTGTGTCTAGGTCTTCTCTTTTTTTTGGCATGTGGATGTCCAGTTGTTCCAACATCATTTGTTGAAAAGTCTGTTGTGTTGCCTTTGCTTCTTTGCCAAAAATCAGTTTACTATTTATGTGGGTCTATTTCTGGGCTCTCTATTCTCTTACAATGATTTATTCATCTGTTCTTCTAACAATACCACACTGTCTTGATTAATGTAGTTTTATAGTAAGTCTTGAAGTCAAGTACTGTCAATCTTCCAGTTTTGCTCTTCTTCAAAATTGTGTTGGCTATTCTGTATTCTGGGTCTTTTGCCTCTCCATACAAACTCTGGAATCAGTTTGTCAATATCTACAAAATAACTTGCTGAGATTTTGGTTACGTTTTTATTGAATCTATAGATCAAGTTGGGAAGAACTAATATCTTGACAATATTAAGACTTCCTGTCCATGAAGATGGAAGGTATCTCAATTTGTTCAGCTCTTCCTGGATTTCGATCATCAGAGTTTTGTAATTTTTCCTCATATAGATCTTATAAATATTTTGTTAAATTTATATCTAATTATTTCATTTTGGGGGGGTGCTAATATAAATTATATTGTGTTTTTAATTTCAAATTCTACTTATTTATTGCTGGTATATAGGAAAGCAATTGACTTGTATATTAACCTTGCATCCTGAAATCTTGCTGTAATAATTTATTAGTTTCCAGAGTTTTGTTTTTGTTTTTTTTAATTGATTCTTCCAGATTTTCTACATAGACTATCTTGTTATCTGCAAAAAAAGACAGTTTTATTTCTTCCTTCTCAATCGATATACCTTTTAGTTTCCTTCTCTTGTCTTATTGCATTAACTCAACATTCCAGTATGATATTGAAAAGAAGTAGTAAGAGGTGACATCCTTGACTTCTACCTGATCTTAGTGAGAAAGCTTTGTGTTTCTCATCATGGAGTATGATGTTAGCTGTAGGTTATCTGTAGGTATTTTTGTCAAGTTGATGAAGTTCCCCTCTATTTCTAGCTTACTGAGAGCTATTTTGAGTGGGTATTGGATTCTGTCGAGTACTTTTCTGCATTTATGGATATAATCATGCGATTTTTCATTTTTAACCTGTGAAAGTGATAGATTACATGAATTGATTTTCAAATGCTGAACCAGCCTGGCATACCTGGGATAAATCACACTTGACTGTGATGTATAATTCTCTTTATACATTGTTGAATTCAATTTGCTGATATTTTGTTAAGGAATTTTGCATCTATGCTCATGAGAGATATTGGCCTGTAGTTTTCTTTTCCTATAATTTCTTTGTCTGGTTTTGTTACTAGGGTAATAAATGCTGGTCTCATAAAACGAGTTACAAAGTATTCCATCTGGTTCTATTCTCTGAAATATATTACAGATAATTGGTATAAATTTTTCCTTAAATGTTTTGTAGAGTTCACCAGTGAACCCATTTGTGCCTGATAATTTCTGTTTTAAAAGGCTATTAATTATTGACTTAATTTTTTAAATACACACAGGCATACCACAAAGATATTGAGGCTTCATTTACAGACTATCGCAATAAAGTAAGTTGTAATCATTTAGCTGGTGGAGGGTCTTGCCTTCAATTTGTAAAAAACAAATCTGTGAAGCACAATAAAGTGAAACTCAACAAAACAAGGATGGCTGTATAGGCCTATTTAGACTGTTTCTTCTTATGTGAGTTTTGGCAAATTGTGTTTTTCAAGGAACTGGTCCATGTCATCTAGGTTATCAAATTTAAAATTGTGGGCATAAAATTTTCATAGTATTCTTTTGTTATCATTTTAATGTCCATAGGATCTATAGTGATGTCCCCTCTTTGTTTTCTGATATTAATAATTTGTAACCTCTCTCTTTTTTTCTTCTTAGCCTGACTCAAGGCTTATCAAGAAAAAAAAAAGAACAGATTTTATCTTTTAAATTTCACTAATTTCTTCTGCTAACTTTGGATTTAATTCTTTTTTTTCTATTTTCCTAAGGTGGAAGCTTAGATTATTGATTTTAATCTTTCTTCCTTTCCACTGCTTTCACAGCTTCCCACAATCTTTGATAAGTTGTATTTTCATTTTCATTTTGTTTAAAATATTTTTTTAAATTTCTCTTGAGATTTCTTCTTTGACCCATGTATTATTTAAAAGTGTGTTGCTTAATCTCCACAATTATTTGGAAATTTTCCAGCTATCTTTCTGTTATTGATTTCTAGTTTAACTCCATAGTGGTCAGAGAGCAGACATTTTATGATTTCAATTCTTTTGAATCTGTTAAGGGGTGTTTTATGGCCCAGAATGTGGTCTGTATTGGTGAATGTTTCATGTGAGTTTGAGAAGAATGTGTATTCTGCTGTGGTTGGGTGAAGTAATCTATAGATGTAAATATATCCAGTTGATTGATGGTATTGCTGAATTCAAGTATGTCCTTAGTGAATGAGTTTCTGCCTGCTGGAGTTTGTTCCTTTTTATTCTTGTTAACTTTTTAAGAAGTTGTCAAACACTTTTCCAAAATGGTTGTACCATTTTATATCCTTACCAGCAATGTATGAGAATTAGAGCTTCTTCATATCCTCACCAACACTTGGTATTGTATTTTTATTTTCAGCCATTCTAATGGGTTGTGGTAGTATCTCACTGTGTTTTAAATTTGCATTTCCCTTTTCACTATGATGTGGAGTGTCTTGGAATATATTCTCCCAGCTCAGGGCTACAAGCATTAATATCTGATATTTCTAGAAATCAACCAGTTAACACTGGAAAGCTGGCAACTTCTATGCTTCCCAAAGCCATCCCAGCTATGCCATTTAATTGAAAATTAAGCATATCTTTAATTATACATCAGCCACAATCCCATTCTCATTTAACTTGCAGATACCAATGCCTCTGATGCAGGTTACTGGTTGTTGGGGGTGGTAGGTGACTTATTTATAAAGACTTCCAAAGACTGTTAAAATCCAAGAAGCTGAAGAAACAGATTTAATAATGGCTACCATTATAGAATACTCACCCCATCTAAGGTTCTGTGCTAGATATTTTACACACATAATCATAACCCATAAGGTAGGCATTACAGCCCCCATTTTAAAGATGAAGAAACTGGCTATCACAGATCCTACAAATTTATATTATTGTGAATGAACAGAGAATGGCAACAGGTGAGGTGAGCATTTCTAGGGCTACTAGGGGCCTAGGCCAGGGCTTTTCTAAGTTGATCAACCTAGGATTCCATTGACATGCAGATTCTAATTCAGTATTCATCTGAGGGAGGGGTGCAGGTTCTGCATGTCTGAGGAGTTCCCTAGTAATACAGATTCTACTGGCCACCTTATCACACTTTGAATATCAAGGGCCTGTCCTTATTTCCACACAATGTCTACTCAGGTCACAGTCAGCATTTGTGTGCTTGGAGGCAGC